GAGCTAGGGGTAAAAGCAGAGGATAAATATGATCAAAATATATAGTATGCATGTGTGAGTTACTAGAAATATATATACATGCATTTTATATATATTTATATATACAAGGGTTTTTTTGAGACAGGGTCTGCCTATAGCCAGAGCTGGCCGGTTGGATCTAAGAAGAGCTAGGGGTAAAAGCAGAGGATAAATATGATCAAAATATATTGTATGCATGTGTGAGTTACTAGAAATATATATACATGCATTTTATATATATTTATATATACAAGGGTTTTTTTGAGACAGGGTCTGCCTATAGCCAGAGCTGGCCTATAACTTACTATGTAGATCAAGATTGCCTCAATCTTAGAGATTTACCTCTGTCTGCCTCCCAGCCTCCCAAGTGTTGGGATTAAAGGTGTGCACCACATCTGACTTAGAAATTTTTTTTTTAAAGATTTAAAACAGTCATACAAGTTTCTATGTAACAAAAATTTCACAATGGCTAGTATGTACCCTAAAATTATAGGAACACTGGGTAACCAAGTAACCTTAGATACTAATAATAATGTAACTATATTGGTTCATTAATTGAAACAAATTAGCACAAAATGTTAATAGGGAAAATGGGAACTGAGTATATAAGAAATGTAAAATAAAACTTTCTGTATATCTAAAATATAAATCTATTTTAAAAATAAATAATATTATCTGAACTAATATTTTTACCGTTCTTCAATTACAGATTTAAATTAAATGTTAGAATACTATACATGTGTAAAGAGAAAATGAACAAATTATTAGGTAAATTTATTTTTTAATGCTATAAAAGAGCTCTTTAGGATGGATATATATTATGTATATTACCCATTAATATATTGTATAGCTATATATACAAAATATTACCCATTTAAATATTTTCATTTCTTCAGAAATAGAAATAACTATAACAGAGATATAGTTATATAAGAAATATAAAAAAAATTAAAATGTACCTTCCTATGCTACAAGAGGTGGTGAACTACAGGCACTTAGTTTGTTCTGTTAGCAAATGAGATCTTCCTAACTTCTTTTCTGACTAATGTTGACCACTGAAATAGTACATCCTGTACTCCCAGAGGGAAGCAAAGCAGAAAGCAGAAAAAGTGCTTGCTAAAATAATTTTCTCTTCTTCCTCAAAATGGAACAAGTCAGGAGGGTGACCAACCTGCATAAGGCTTACTACTGAGCCCTAATTCGTTCTCTGAAACTCAAATAAACTGTAGTCCATTATGAAGCCTGCTGAGAAGACCAAAGAAAAAGGAGTATTCCACTTGTTAAATGTTTATTATTAGAGCTTACCAGCCAACTATAATAATGGAGAGAGGAAGCTGTTTGCAAGCTGCATACAGATTTAGTTACTCAAACTCCACCAAGGTAAAACAGAACCTTGAGACTAAATTCTTAAAATTTACTAGGCAGTAGCATAAGGGAGCCATGGAAATTTGGGTCAGTGATTTGAAAGCAGCTCAAGTCAAAAAAGAGGTAAAATTCTCAATGCTGGGGAAATTTGCTTTCTTTTACTCTAAGAATCAAAGTTGGATGGATTTTCAACGACTAAACCACTGGTGGGTGGGATGACTAAGCTAAGTGCTTCCTCTCTACTTTGTATTCTATTGGCTGTCTTCTTGCTAACCTTCACCAACTAACCACTCACTCTCCTTAGTTAATCTCTATTTTTCTGATTGAGGAGGTCAGTCATTTCATTTACTGTAACAATGACTGATGAGATACCTCAAGTTTATTAGCTACAGGAACACATTTAGAACTAACACATCATTGGTGTGAGTGTTAAGCAAATATAAAGTACACAAGCAGTGAGGTATGGTGGTGCATGCCTATAATCCTAGCACTTGGGAGGCAAAGGCAGACACTGATGGAGGAGGACAAATGTTTTCAAGAAACACTCTTCTGAGTTGGTAGTACAGGGTAGGTGATATAGTACTTGCTTAGTCTGAGTCAGTCCGTAGGCTCTCCGTTATCTAGCAATGCAAAAGAAACACTTTCTTTCACCTAAATTCAATCTCTTGACAGTACTCCATCTCTCATTCCTAACTCAAGCCAGTAGTAGGAATCGATACATTCTCCCTTTTCATGAATCAAGTATAAGACTAAACACAGAGCACTTAAGTTTGTCAACCCATTTTTTCTAACCAGACAAACCACAAACTCCCTGGGGGAAGTATAGTTTTCTACCTAATTGTTTGTAGCTATTTCCAGGACTTCACGTAGCTCTTCCCATGTAGCAAGGATTTCAAAAGTTCCTTAAGTGTCAAATACATAAGTACCTAAAACTAACTTTTCAACTTCTACCACTGCCTCCCTTATCACTCCCTGGGGGGATGATAAAGTACTCCCTTCCATGAGATTGATATCTATAATACAGTGTCATAAAAGAATGTTTTAAAAGTAAGATCCCAAAAAGATTTAAAGGGAAACTTAATGCTTAATTTCTGATAAATGCAAGGTATCATTTTTCTTTTTTTTTGGTCTTTTTGAGACAGGGTCTCCCTATAGCCCCAGGGGCCTGGAACTCACAGATTTACCTGCCTCTGCTTCCCAAGTGCTGGGACTAAAGTGTACACCACAACTCCTGGCTCCAAGGTATCTGTTTTTAACACATGGGGCTAACACACTAAAAAAAATTTATTCACTCACCTCAACACTTAAAACACATGGGTAATCTGTATATTGTGTGTTTGTCTATGAGTGGTGTACCTGTGTATAGGTGCATGCATGCTTGGGCTGAGGCCATAGGGCATCAGGTGTCCTATTGTATCATTCTCCTTTATTCCCTTGAGACAAGTGTTTTTTTACTGAACATGGAGTTAGGATGATGGTCAGCAAGCCTCAACCATCCTCCTGTCTCCAAATCCCATAGTGCAGGGTTCCAAGTGCACATGACCACACCAACCTTTTAACGTGGATACTGCGGACTTGAACTCAGGTCCTTATGCTTGCAAAGCAAGCTCTCTTACCCACTAAGTCATATGTCCAGTCCCATAATGTGTATATTTTGACTACATAAATCACTCTTTTTCCTTTCTATAACTGATGTGTATATTTGAGATAAAGATTACTAGTACAGTTTTAATACTTTCAGATTTCTTTAAGATTTTTATTTTTAGACATTTATACTTCATTAAGAATTTCAGGGCTGGAGCAATGGCTCAGTGAAGAGCTCTGGCTCTTCTTGCAGAGGACCTGGGTTTGGTTCCCAGCACCTACATGGCAACAACTGTCTATAACTCTAGTTCCAGGGGATCTGACACCTTCTTCTGATCTCCAAAGGTATTACATGACACAGGCAGTGCACACACAAGTTCACTTATATAAATGCAGGCAAAACACTCATACACTTAATAAAAACAAATAATTTCTAAAACATATTATATGTCCCCTAATCAGGTCATTCTTTTATGCATGGTGCCACCAGTCCCCCACGTCTCCATCACCAGCTTTACTAATGCAGATTCTTCTACAGTAAACTATTCATTTAGTACCTGTTAACTGTGGATTTTTTCCAGTTGCCTTTTTTAATACCCAAATTCACATATGATTCAGTGAGCTCTATATTTAATTCTCCTTCTGAGTCACTTGGAAGTATTCCTAGTTTTGCAGCAGATTCATAGAGAGAAATCTCATCTTTAAGCTCTGTTAATTCCTCCTAGAACAAAATCATTGAAAATAACTTCCATTATTTCCTAGATAACAAAGCTTCTTCGAATATATTTCTAACATGCATTCTAATAGCTTCAGAAAGGCCAGCATCTCAGGTTTTCCAGTAAACTGAATAAATGAGAAGTAAAGGTGGGCAGTTCCTTTCACAACCCTCTCATTTACAAAATCATCACTTGAGCTGAGATGCTTCTACTACAGTAGAAGAGAAAGAAGATGGGTCAGCCAGGAACATGTTGTACTTCAGGCTGCCAGGATGAACATGCAAAACACCTTTTTCAGTGAAGGCAATGCTAGAATTCTTCCCTGGTATTTTACTCTACTTTTAGTGGGAAATTGAAGTATCTGGAGGAAGAGGTGAGAGAATCTCAGCCTTATCAGATATCCCCACACCTGCAGATGGCCTTGTCTCTGGAATGCACCTATAGATGACAGGAGAGGGTAGGCAGACTGGCAAGAAGAGACAGGGCTCTGGCTCTGAAGTTACTCAGAACTGGGCTTGAACACCTAGTTCTAATTAACAGTGTGGATAAGATTCTTAAAAAATTCTCTGGGCTGCTTTGAAGATGGTCCATTTCTATTACACAGAGACATCTAAGATTCAAAAATAGGCGATATATTGCAGAACTGAGTTTCCATGAAGTCTCTTCCAAGTGGCAATACTCACTTGCAAAGCCTTATTCATGTTCTCACTTAGGGCATGTGCCTTTTGTGCTTGTTGCAGCTCTAACTGTAGCTGAGCCACCTCCTGTATGGAGCCTGCAGGACGGAAAAAAAAAATAAAAAAATCACAGGATACTCTAAATGTGAAGAGACAAAGTACCTATGGTCTACAGAACTGGAACCCACTGAGGGTCCAGAGGGTGGAGTTCTGCTTTGTTTTTATTTATTATTTTAGGCTCATAAAGAGCCAGTGGAGAACCAAAAGGCCTAAGTCTAGTTCAGACTTTTCTAAGACTTAGTACAGATCCCCATATGTCCTCCTCAAGAAGCTCAAAGCTAAGGCTACTGTGACTCTCAAGTCATACCGAACACAGCTGAACTACAGACTGCAGCAATCCAGGAGTCCATTAGTGGGAACACAGCATTTCAAGTCATAGAAAGTCAAGAAGTTCTACCTTACCATTTCTGCTCACCAGTTTAAAAACTACATCTTGCTGCCTTTAGTGTCTTTATAAATGCTCTTATTTCTAATGTTCCCTATCCATATGTGAAAGTAGTATATTATGACTGCTTCTGAAATTTTAGCAAACTAGTATTTCAAAGATTTATTTTTTTTACTTATGTGTGGTGTGTCTGTGTGTGTATGTGTCTATGTGTATGAGTATGGGGGTGGGGGGTGCTCACAGAGTCCAGAAGAGGATATTGGACCCCTGGAGCTAGAGTTACAGGTGGCTGTGAGTTGTCTTATGAGTTCTGGGAACCAAACATGGGTCCTCTGCAAGCACCATCTTAACCACTGAGTCATTTTTCTACCCCCCAGCAAACTAATTTAAAAAAATTTTTTTTATTATTTTTATTTCGTTACAGCTTTAACATACTCAATAACAATTTCCAGAGCAAAGATACTACTATTTTAAATTTACTAGGAGAGATTCCAATTCAAAGGGGACTTCTGAGTGTTTCCTCAAAAGAAAATGATCATTTCAGAAATAATTACTGAAAGTAAAGATGGTCTATTACACAGCTATAGAAAACCCTATCTTCAAAGCCTTTAATGTCCAAGGAAAACTCACCCCCAAGTCATGCTAAGTAAGGAAAAAAGATCTGTAACTAAACAGGGATAGGAAGAGAACCTAAATAGGATCCAAATTTTGTCCCCTACCAGAACATACACTCTCTCTCTCTCTCTCTCTCTCTCTCTCTTTCTAATAATAATAATAATAAATTGTAACTCAGGGGTTCTGCTATGTTCTGTCTGCATATCACATTAGCCTCTCGGGGGAGGGGGGGAGGTTGCACACAAGACCCTACCTGACTGCAGCAGGTGGGCACACTGCTTCTGACTGTCCTCTAGACTTCTCGTCAACCTGTTAATGATCTCGGTCTTCTCTAATTTGGTTGCTTCTTGATTTCTTTCTAGTTGCTTCACATGGTCTTTCAAACGAGTGCAAATGTCTTCCTAAATAGAAAGAGAGGTCAACAAGTCATTTTCATGATCAATTTTAATAAATATTAAACTAAAACCGCCCAACATAAAATCATCATGTGGTAGTATTGTTAGGGAAAGAGGAATTTACTGCTTGTAACCAATTAACTCAACTGGAGACACAGGCATCCAGAGATATGGGCAAGTGCTGCAGCCCCCGGAGCCTGACCTGTCTGATCTGTGTCGTGTCACGTAGGCATGTCTGCTTACACAAGATAACAGGGAAGGGTTGCGCCAGGCACATACCACCCATCCCTCCCCGACTGAGACACCTGAAGGGAGTTGTAACATTTTTCTTGTTTTGAACTTATTGGTTTGTGAAATGCTTGCTTTGAAACTATTCGCTGTATAAACGCGGGCTCTTGTGTAATGGTTGTGGGAGCCTATATAATCTTTACCTAAAATTGCCTCAGGGTCGATCACTCTAACCAGACCTGCATGTCTTGGAAGGATGGTCGGTCCCAGCTAGCTGGTTTAATAAAACTCTGCTTGATTTTTGCATCTCCATACTCGTGCATTTGTTCTCCTGAAGAGACCCACCGAGTCACGGACCCTAACAGTATCACATCTTTCAGGGGGCTAGCCAGTGCTCAGGAGACAATAAGAAACACACTGTGACCTTTGGTGAGGCCCCACTTTTCAAGCTGTTTCTTCTTTGAAGTTATGCTAACGAAAAAGAAATGGGATTTCTAGAGTTTCTTTCTACTCCACACTCCTAAAATACTTCTGTTCTAAAATTAGCATGCCAAAGGAAATATGTTATATTCCTATTTGCATTTTTGTGCTTTTAACATAGATATACAAATTTAGGCAAACAACCTCAAATCACAGAATCTGTATCCCCAGACAACAAGGAAACAGATGAATACATGGAAACTCTATTCTAAGCAGCCAAAGGCTCATTCTGTTCAGAGCAGCCAAAAACAATCTTTCCCTCCTCTGAGCATCTTTTAAACTTGATCTGTTTTTCTCTTATGTTTCTTTTTCTACCTTTTACATACCTTCTTGCCTCCGTGAAGTGGCTCTGCAATGTATTATACACAACAAAAATGATACTACGTACTTGAAAATGATTGACAAAAAAGACATGGTAATTGTAGTGTGTGATGGACTCTATGTAAATGTGTAAGAAATATACATTATGGTCCAAGGTCAGCATATGCCTTTGTATATATGTGGAGAAAGACACTGCATTTACAGTAAAAATTTCTCCAAAAAGAAAATGTATTTGCAAATGAGAAGCCATGGGAGTCTCAAGTCCAGGTAGAAAAAAACATTACTATAAAAATCAACACTTCTCATCTAAACCAGCTGCTCAGTCAGCATGCCAGGTAGAAAGATGCAAAGCATAGGGAGGCAGAAAGGTAGATGTGGCATGAGATTTCTTGAGAAAGTCCTTAAGACAGTAGTGGGAGATTTGAAGCAAAAATCAGGTACTGGCCTTGGAACCTGATTCCCAGCACAGCCTAAACCCCAATAATGCAGCTCAAAGGACACGAATATAGGAATACCCCCCAAAATGAAGTAACTCAGACACTTCCCTTATGCAAAGGGCTCTCCTTTAAAAAATTAAAGGCTTTCAATTTCACTTAAAAATTCATGTGAATTTTTGTATTCTATCTCATAATGCAGCTGCGTTTGCTTTAAATTTTTTCTACCAAATTTTCAGCAAAATGAAGCTTCTGGAAACTAGTCCATGTTTATTCAGCACTGAAAACTTCTTGGCACACAGCTGATGTTTCCCAGGCCAGCTTGGGAAGCACAGTCCTACCGTGCCAAAGTAACATGGTGACAAGATGAGCTAATAAGAATGACAGTCCAAATGCGTGTCATGAAGGGCTGGGGAAGACAAGACACTCAAATTTATATTCTGGAGAGGTCACAATAGTTTTGAATTGCTACAATATGTGGTGCATACAGTCTTTTCTACATCAAAAATCTGATGAGCTTTTTTGATATTTTATTTATTACTTTTATTTTATGTGTATGAGTGTATTATCTACATGTATGTAAGGAACAATGCCCATGGAGACCAGAAGAGGGTGTCATATTCCCTGGAACTGAAGTTACGGATGGTTGTTAGCTGCCATGTGAGTGCTGGGATTCAAACCCGGTCCTCTAGAAGAGCAGTCAGCTCTCTTAACCACTGAGACATCTCTTCAGCCCTAAAATCTGATGTTTTAAGGAAAACACTAAGTTAATAAAATGCTCAAGCATATATTTCTCAAATGGACTAGGTACACAGACATTCAAAAAACTCAACTGCATCACAGATTGTTTGGTCTCCCCATCACTTGGAATTAGACAATTTCAAATTACAACTCAACACACACCCATGATTTAAAGTCTTAAGAGAAAGTTGCTCAACTTTAAATAGAAAAAGAGGGGGAAAAAAATCTAAATCTAATACATTTAACAGGAAAAGTTGGAAGCTTTCCCACGAACAGCAGGACCAAGGAAAGGGTGTCTTTCTCACCACTCCTCTCAGCAGCATGCTACAAGTTCTTGCCAATGCCCTTGGACAAGAAAAGGAAATTAAAGGTATACAAACTGCAAAAGAACAAACTAAAACTCTCTTTATTCATGGAAGACATGATCTCCTATATGGAAAATCAAAAGAAAAAAAACAACCTATTAGACCTAACAAGCAATTATAGGTCTGTAGAATGTAACATTAATTTTTTAAAAAGTCACTTTCAAAAGTCAGCCATGGTAGTACACGCCTTTAATCCCAGCACTTGGGAGGCAGAGGCAGGTGGATCTCTGTGAGTTCGAGGCCAGCCTGGTCTACATAGCGAGTTCCAAACCAGCTGGGGCTACAAGGAGACCCTGTCTCAACAAAGACCAAAAAAAAAAAAAAAAAAAAAAAAGTCACTTTCCTACATATCCACAATGAGCAAGTAGAATTTGAAATTAAAAATATGATGCCATTTACATTACCATTCCAAAAATAAAGACCTTAGGTATAAATCTAAAACACGTACAAGACCTTTATAGAGAAAACTACACAACTCTAAAGAAATCCATAAACAACTAAATAATCAGGGCTGGAGAGAGGGCTCAGTGGTTAAGAACACTGGCTGTTCTTGCAGAAGACCAGGGTTCAAATCCCAGCACCCACATGGCAGCTAACAACTGTCTGTAACTCCAGTTCAAGAGACTCTGATTCCCACTGTCGTCTGTGGGCACTTCACAACATGGGTGCACTTACACACATGCAGGGCTACCACTCATACTTTAAAATAAAAATTAAAAAATAAACTAAATAATCAGATATATTCTATGTTCATGATAAGAACACTCAATATTGTCAACATGCCACTTGTTATCAGTAAGAGCTACAGATTCAGTGTAATCTTAAAGTACCAGCAAAATTAATATCTTGAGTTTATACAAGGTGTTCCATACATCACTACCACTCTGGTACAGCATGTTGATAATGGAGGAAGCTATACACTAGGGGTAGGAGGTGGATACATGGGAAATTTTACACCTTTCGTTCAACTTTAGTGTGAACATACAGCAACTCTAAAAACTGAAGTCAATATACATATATATTTACAATGGTTATATACAAATTTATATAGTGTATTTATACCCCAATGTCTGCTGTTTTCCAGTAAAAGTTTGTTGAACAGGTAAAATAATTTGGTCAGTCTACAACATAGTTACTGAGTCCCACCAAGAACAGCATTTTTATCACAGCAAGGGATATTCAACCTTTGGCAAGAGAAGCATTAATCTCTTGAAAAACATGAATAAGCTTATAGATCCACAAAGGTCATATTCTTATTCACCAGAACATTCTTACCCATAACTACTAAGGATACATGGGTTCCCAAGAGCCTAGTTAGCACTGGCTTAGGAGACACAAGGTAACATATCTCTATGACTAGCAAAATTCACTGCATGAGCATCTATTCTTAGCACTATGTACATACTATACATGGGTACACTACTATGTGTGATCCCATGAGAGCCACTCAGACCTAGATATTGACAAATTTATTCAACTTCAACAGGGTTAATTATCCAAAAGTTATTATTTTCCAAGAATTATTTTTCTTTGAACTCTATCAAATGAAGTGTACTGGGAAGATTTACTGAAAAGAGAAATAGTTTGCAACTCTAATAACTTTTATAAATAAAAGAGGAAAATGTAAATATATAGTTACCAGTTATATGAGAAACACAAAATTAAACTTCTCTGTATAGAACACATTTGTGCTTTTTACTTGTTTTCTTTTAAATCTTTGCGTATGTACGCACAGGTGTGTGTGCTTGCATATGAGTACAGGCATGCACATGCCATGATGTGTGGAGGTCAGAGGACAACCTCAGGTGCAGGTCACCTTTCACCTTGAGACAGGGTCTCGATAGTTACTGTGTACACCAGGCTAGCTGGTCCTCCAGTTTCAGGGATTCCTGTCTCTGCCTCCAATCTCGCTGTAGGGGCACTGGGATCCACCACATGCAGCTTTCCATGAGTTCTAAGGATCCAAACTCAGGTACTCAAACTTGTATAACAAGAGTTTTGTCATTGCCACAGTCCACACTTGTGCATTTTTCTAATCATAGGCAGGCATTTCCCTCTTTAATTTTTATAGCACTCCTCCAATTAGGAACCCCAAATAGATTATAAAATAATAGAAACTGGGTATAGGTACTTTGACCTCATTAAAAATACTGCTGAGCCAATTGATAGCAGTTTAAAGCACAAAGGAGATATCAAAAAATATTCCGGGGGGGGGTTGTGGAGAGGAGTCATAGTAAATACAGTTCATGATTTGGTGTCTGAAACCCACTCGGCACAGAACTAACATGTTGTTGTCTTCTGTTCTGAGGTACTTCTTTTGAAATAGTTATGGCAGACATAGGGGTAAATAAAGGAATCAGAGGCACAGGGTACTAATCAATTAGTTGTCCTGGAATAACCGCAGACTGAAAAGAACTGACTGTACTAGCACAGGCCAGAACCTGAGAGCTTGTCCTGGGAGCCTTTTTGAGGGCCTGCCAACATCCTTATAACCATCCCTATAAGAAAGGCTTCCAAACACACTAAAAATTCCCTCCAACCCAGTCCCAATGTAATCACCTTGAGTCAGCAGAGAGAGAGTGCTCTTCAAATAACTCAGGAAGAGCTGCCAGACTCCACCTTTCTCTAGCCATCCAAAAAGGACCACTGATTGCTTTAACTACTACTCTGTTTGGCCAAAGACAATATGAACAAATAAACAAAATTTTTAAAGTTTAAAAAAAAAGAACCCCAGATTCTAGTTAAGTCTTCTATAAAACAGACTTTCTTTCCATGATTTCTCATTCCCTATATAGCCACTACAACGATCAAATTATATTATTTTTCTATGTAAAAGGAATACAAACATAATTAAATCTAACTAATGCATAAATACATATAAAATAAAATGGACTGTAGTTTACAGCTGAGTTGGTAGAGCACTGTCCCAGCAAGCACAAAGCCCTGGGTACAATCCCAGCACCACACAAACCAAGCATGGCAGCGCATGCCAGTAATCCCAGCCCTCCAAAGGCAGAGGCACAAAGACCAGAAGTTCAGAGTCATCCTCAGCTACATAGTAAATTTGAGTCCAGTTTGGGCTTCCTAAGACGCTGTAATAAACTAAACAAAATACAAAATATGCAATAAAATAAAAATAGTAATGAAATAAAATCTTAAACAAATAATTAGTATGCCATAATACTATCATGCCATAATACCTATCATGGGAACATTTATTGTCAGCTATAAACTCAGAAATAATCAAAATCAGGGTGAATTTTAGGTGCAGTAGGTTTTTCATACCCTCACATCTTATTTTCTTCTTTCCCTTGGGTTAATTAGTTCTGAAATTAGGAAAAAATGCATTCTGAAATTTTATTTATTTGACCTAAAATTTTGGAAAATAAGTAAGTAAACTCACCCTCAGCTTGTGATAATGTATTCTCTTTTGGACAAAAATAATAAGTGTTCACTGTGAACTATGCTGAACCTTGAATCGAAAGGAGTTTATTTAGATAAGACTTTCTTCCCTATTTTATACATTATATAGACTGAGTATCCACCACAGGAAAAGTTCCAATTTTGGAATATTCGTTGTTAGGAATAAGGCTCAAGATTAAACAGAAAATTTGCTCTTTGTTTTATATATTCATTATATACTGAGTCTGAAGTTAATTTTATACAGTATCAACTGTGGCCTGTCCCCATGAGGTTTGGTATAGAATTTTCTACTTGAGGCACCTGTCAGCCAAAAGGATACTAAATTTCAGATATCTAACTTCTATTCTCAAAATTAACCTTTTCCCAAGAACCATTTCTCAACAATCTTTACTGAGAGGTAAATGCTGGGAGACTAGAAGGCTCCCACGTCTACTTCAGGTTCTGGCCAGTGCCAGTACACTTACTCCTTTCAGTTGGCATCTGTGTTGGATAGCTTCAGTTGTCAACTAAAAGAGGGAACCTCAATTGGGGAATTTCCTCTGAAGGACTGGCCTGTGGGCATGTCTGTGAGGCACTTTCTTGATTGTTGGGTGAATTGGGAGGCCCAGCCCACTGTGGGTGCTGGCATTTCTGCACAGGTAGTCCTGGATTGCATAGGCCAGAAACAACCCAGTAAGCAGCATCCCACCACAGTCTGTGCTGCAGCTTCTGCCCCAGGTTCCTGCCTTGAGTTCCTATCCTGACTTCCCTCAGTGATGGGTTGATTGGGACCTGGGAGTAGTAATTTCAGATAAAAAAAACTTTCCTCTGCCCAGGTTAGTTTTGGCCATAGTGTTTATTACACAATGGAAACCTAACTAGGACAGCATTTATTCTAGAAATATGAATATGTTTAAATCCTACTAAAAAAATAAAGCTCTATTACTGTGAGATCTGAGAAGGTAGTAACCAATTCTACAAGAGGAAAGATGTCCAAAATTATACCTTTAGGACACATTCATAGACTGAAAAATCATTAGTTTTTAGGTTTCAGTTATAAGTTAATACCTACTATAAACAGCAAAATTTCTGAGGGACCACAAAAAATGTTATTAAAAAAATAACAAGCTTTACAAATGAAAGCTTCTCATTAGAAACTGACCTGTTCCTGAAGGGCTGTCACTGTAGCATCCAAATTCTTCTGCAGGGAGAACACTTGCTCTTCATACTTCTGTGTGAGGCCCGTAACAATACTCTTATGCTGTTCTCTGGCTCGTTGAAGTGACTCAGAATGATGAAGCTCCACCAACTGCTGTTTCAAATTCTCCAGAGCCATTTCAGTTGTTCTGGACTTCTTGATCAGCTAGTAAATAAACAGGAAATCCATGTTGATAGTATCTTAACTTTGTGCTCTCTGAGGACTTGAAAACTCAGCACTTTAATAAGAATAAAGAGGGAAGTCTCACCTACCATGGCCTTAGTCCCTTAAAACTGTCCTGGATGCTATCTATTGTAAAGCCCCTGGTTGCTGCAATAATTATTCACTGACAAACTATATTTCACAGTTACCCGCAAAGGCTGACTGGGAATCTGCAGAGCATGATAGTAATGTGGGCATCAGGCAATCAATCTGCTGCTACAATTGGTAGTCCTAGTGCTATTTGCATGGCTATGTGAGTCAAGTTTGGGGCAACTGTTAGGTCACAGAAAAATGACAGCTGTCCTTTAAAACACTGGAAAACCTTTGAATGGTCACTTTATACTAAATAAAGTTTTTGTTTTTGTTTTTTGAGACAGGCTCCCATACTGTTTGACTGGCTTCAAATTCCTAGGCTCAAGTAATACTCCCGCCTTATCCTCCTGAGTAGGTAGGACTAAAGGCATATGCCACCATGACCCAATTAAAACAATTTTGAAAGCATAGTTGGAACTGTGAGTAAAATAATGACCCACAAATAGTTTCCTAATCCCCAAAACCCATGATTAAGTTATACTTTAGGGCAAGGAAAATACTAAAGTTGCAAATGAGATTAAAGTTACAAATCATATAACAATAAAATAAGGAGATTCTGAAGGGAAGAACTTGGTTCAAGACTTTTAGCTTCTCAGGCTTTGTCAATAACTGATTTTACCCTTAGGCAAATATGTTTCCCTTCTAAGACCGGCCTAATTTATCTATAAAGTGTTGAACATGGTGCCTACAAAGGAATCAGAATTCCAATAAGTTTTTCGTTTTATGAAATATAAAAAGTTGATTTGAAAAATGCAAAAAAGAAAATGGGGAAAATGATTTTAAGTGTTTTAAGAATAGCTTGCCAATTTCAAGACATCCCACAGAGTTATAGTCATGGCAGCATGCAAGAGACAAGAAAAACATCTAAGAACAAAACATACATGCCACCAGGTTGGTAGTTAACAACACCCTCTCAGCACATGCTGACCACCAGCCATATGCCAAACACAGCAGGGCTTACAAGCATAAGGAAAGTCAATGACACCTTCAAGGTGTTCTAGGTATGTTATAATAGAAGTAATCACTTTGAGGGAACAGACTCAGAATAAGAAACCCGTGAGCTGGGGTTTGTTGATCAAAGGCAACATGCCATGGAATAGCATTCCAGAGAAGCAGTGGTGTGTGCAAGCCTATGAAAACAAGACTACTGAGTGTACAGAAAGAGGTCCAAGGTCATCTCCTCAAGTATTTTGTTCCACAGGTAAGGTGGGTCAATGGAAAGCCTTTAAGCAAGAGAACAACAAAATTAGAACTGTATTCTGGGAGGATTATGCAGATGGCCAAAAAGAGAATTTGCAGGATGGGTAAAACTAGAGTAATTAAGAAACTTTTGGATTAACAATATAAAACCCTGAAAGAGCAAAACTGCAATGACGTTAACAGAGGAGCTGCCACCTCCCTCCTAGCACCTGAAGTGACATCCATGACTCAAAGTTCTTCTAAATTTAGTCTTAACCCAACCTAAGTTCTGTCAAAGTTAAAAAGTATACCTTTTCTTCGCTGACTTTGAGCGCTTGTATTTGGGTCTCCTGGGCTTCTATCTGTGCTTCAAGCTGAATTTCCCTTTCTTTTCCATTCTGAAAGAGCTTCTGTGATTCTTGAAGGCTGATGGTCAAGCCATCCTTTTCATCTGGACATTAAAAATGTTGATAGAGAGAGTGTCACTGTAATGAGACTGTAACTGCCACAACCTCTATGAGATCTATTAGACCTAAATGTTGAATTAAATTCAGACAACTTTCAACTCAATGAACTTTAGTTGCTTTAGAGAAAAAACAGAAAAATGATTTCTAAAAAATACTTGACACCAAAACTTAAAGAACCACTAAAATTTGAGTTCTTATTATATCCCTGTTGAAGCCAAAAACAGCATCTGTTCACAGATGTTTGAGAAGCTATACAGATAATGCAAAGCCCTGCTAATCTGAGATGTGGGTTATGGCTGTACACACCTATGATCTCAGGACTCAGATGGCTAAGGCCAGCCTGGGCTATATAATGAGACCCTGACTCAAAAATAAGGCATGTGAGGATTACTAACTTCCTTCACATATTTGTAATGAACTCTTTAATTGATCTAGTCTTAAGTCCTTCTCAAATACTTTACTATAACAGCTCACAAATTCTCTCAAATTTTATACGCATTACAGAAAAAGATTTTTTCACTATCAACTAAATTTGAAAATGAGCTGGAGTTCAGTCTCAAAATTATTCTACAAATGGAGGTTCAACACTGACCAAAACTACAGAGCAGAGGAAGAGTAAGCAAGTACGACCTGAATCTGTGTTTTCTCCATATGATTAAAAAGAAATGGCAACATTTTCCTTGGCACATTTATAGCAGTTCAGGGTCCCTACCGCCTCCTTGGCTTAAAATGTTTACGGTAATCTGCAGGGTCTCAGAAAAGGATGCATTACTTAGCTAAACATATCACCCTGGAAGAGGAATACTTCATCCAGGGTAATGACATGAGGACAGTTTTTAGGGCAGGAGGCCTTCAGCACAGTTAAGTAACACTCATCGAAGCCAAAAGAAGGGGGAGGATAACTGCGAAAACAGTAGAGCTCTAGAGGGAAGAAATCCACGGTAAGGACACGGAAGTCTTGGCTTTGGGATTTGCTCTGACTCAGTATGAGCTCTCTGACCAGGAAAAATGAGGTTACTGGAATGAAAAGCGCAGGAAAATAAAAATAGAATGATAAAATTAGTTGATCAGAAACCAGATGTCCAGCTCTTGCACAGAGGAAAAACTCAGGCCCAGCAGCTATATTACCTTTGATCATCAGAAGCTGGTGATTCAGAAATCGAATTTGCCGCTCACTTTCATTCAGCTTTTCAACTAAGTTGTCTAACTGTCTCTCCTTTGCTTTGTTAAGAACCTGGAGTTGAATAATATGTATATTTTCTGCAGAATCTGCTTTGGAATTAGAGACAACTTATTAGGCAAAAACATACCAAAATATAAGCTATGTTCAATTAGCACCATGTTTCTCAAAATTTTATACAGTTTATTAGAACAAAAAAATCTAACAGTGAATTGTGACTAACAATTTTTTAATATCAAGATAAAATAAAATAGAATGCATTGGAGAACTTTATGTAGCAAGGATAAGCATTTTGTGGAGCTTTTTTTATACTTATTTATACTTAATATTGCAGAATATACCACATGTACTCCACTATGGGCCACTGCCAGAAAATGTAAAAGTCACTAGTTTCAGGTAAAACTCTGTATCACTATCAGTTTGGCCAGTTAGAAAGCAGTATATAACAACTGCAACAGCATAACATGCTCTCATCAAATGACCAACAGAATAAGTACATAAGCCTCTATAAAATTATTTTAAAAGGAAAGTTCTAGATACCCTTGTGAAAATACTTAATCTTTAGCAAGAGTGGAAACTACACTGTTTTATGTCTATGTTGGCACATAAACTGCTGCGTTAATTAACTACTAAAGAGATGAACAACATGGAGTCTTCATAACAAAATCATTGTAGGAAACACAGACTGGGGGAAAATGAAAATGACAGGTAGAAGAAGGTTTCAACTCTGCGATAGTCTAGTATGCTGAAAGCATCACGATGATGTCCAAAAAAGGAAGTCCAGTTATCTCTGTGGCCTAGCCAGGTAACCTAGAAACTCAATCACACTCTAGAATCTCACCAGCTCTTCAATATGCACAATAATTCAAAGTTAATTTAATATGCCAGAAACATGATGATAAAAGCTACAATCTATGTTTTCTGCTTGTGTTTTGAGACAGGTTCTTGCTATGTAGACCAGACTATCCTGGATCTCATAGAACTCTGCCTGCCTCTGCATCCTGAGTGCTGGGATTAAAAGCATCTGTACCATGCCCATTAGCAGTTTTTCATTTTTCTAGTGTCTTTAAAGTATTTTTCTTATAGTTATATTTATACACACACTATATCAAAAAAAGGGGAGAGGTAAGTACCACATAACTTAACCTGAGATCAAAGTCAATTCTGAACACACCAGAGTTACACAATTATTATACTAAAGCAATGCAAAAATTAAAAGAAAAACTAAGATAATCATTGCTGATTTATTAAGTTACATGTTTATGCAGTGAAAAAAATCTAATACAAGACCGATGAGAAAATTGTATTTCATTTTCCAAAGCAGACAAGCAAGAAAAATATTAAGCTCAGGATGACTGAAATACTCCATTGTGTAAATTTTCTTTTAGCATTTTACTAAGAAAATTTTCAAATATCAATTTGTTATTGAAAACAGCAAAATAAATTCCCAAGAACTCATCTCTGAAATTCAGCAATTTTCCTTTATCTTTACACCTACCTAACATCACTTCTTAAAAACAATTTTTTTTTTTTTTTTTTTTTTTTTTTTTTTTTTAGCTAGACATGCCCTCCATCACTGAGCTGCATCCCTGGCCCTTGGTTTTTGTGAGACAGGTTTTCACAAGGTAACTCAGGCTGACCCTGACTGTTCTCTATGCTAGGCTGGCCTTGGACTGCTGTTGCTAGCTTTTCCTGTCTCTGTATCCTAAGTGCTAGGCATACAGGTACATGCCACTACCTTGAGCTCAACAGATTAATTTGAAATAAATCTTAGAATTTTTATCAATCTGTTTATAAAGATCTCAATATAAGGCTCTCTGAAATACCAATAATTCCACTGATACTTAAAAAAACAAAATTCTTGAATGTACATACAAATATTCCTTAACTGTTCTCCCCAACTATGTTAATAACAACAACAACAAAAACAAAAACATAACTGAATGTGGTATCACACATCTATAATTCTATCAATTGGAAAGCTGAAGCAGGAGGATTGCCGTGAGTCTGAGGCCAGCTTGGCTCTGTCTCAAAAAAAAAAGTAAAATAAATAAATATAAATGAGACACCTACTTTCATTAGCTCCTAAAAATTGCTGCTGCAGGCCTTCAAACACATCAGTTCCTGCTATTTCCTGAGCTGGTAAGCTATGGCTCTGCACAGAAGACTGATAAGGCTTATACGTCACTTTATATGGCTCCAAAGCCACGCAGTTGGGACCTTGGGATGAACCAAATTGCTATGAAAAGATGAAAAATGAAATTAACAGTTAGAATTTGGCCCTTTTCCCCAAAATTAACTTAGACACCTCCCTCCTTCCAAGTGCTAAAATTATAGGTGAATATTAGCATGCCTAGTTTATGTACTACTAGAGATGGAACCTAGAGCCTCATGCATGCTAGGCAAGCACTCTACCAACTGACCTACATCCGCAGCCCAGGATCAACTTTTTTTTTTTTTTTTTCTGTCTTTTTTCGACAGGGTCTCCCTATAGCCCCAGCTGTCCTGGAACTCACTATGTAGACCAGGCTGGCCTTGAACTCACAGAGATCCACCTGCCTCTACCTCCCAAGTGCTGGGACTATCAACTTTTTAGACATCTTTGCTCAAAAATAGTACTCACAGTTATTTAAAATTGTTAATTCCTTCGTTGTAATTTTGAGCACACAATGGAGTAAATTTCAAAAATAAAACTTAAGAATAGCAGTGAGGTCGTATATGAGCATTTTATTACAAATTAGTAAGATGATGCCACCATTTTGGGAACATAAAAATGCACACAATAAATAATAATAGCATGTGATAATGCCTCATGTCTAATAAATTCAAAATAATTTATGCAATGAATAACATTCTCCAGTGAGAAAATAACTAGCTTTAATGACCCCCCCCCCAAAAAAAATCATTCTGCCATTGAGTGTCACAGAATAGCAATTGGGAAAATGAGGTACTTATTGTCATTGAGAGACTCTAAGTAGCTACTATTTCCTAAGGCCTTCTTAAAACTCTCCTACAGTCAGAGCAAGCTGTTTCTCCAGTAACATTCGTCTTATCTTCTGTTACAACCCCATACAAAAAAGAAATTAGCTTTGAAGTGTTTGATCTAAAATTGGTTATGTGTGGTGAACAAGAAAATTGAGGAAACTAAATGCTATGATCTACATAAAATTGCTACTGTAAGAACTATAACAAGGATGGGCGTGGTGGCACACACCTTTAATCTCAGCACTCAGGAAAGAGAAGCAGGCAGATCTCTGTGAGATCAAGGCCAGTCTAAAACATGTTCCAGGCCAGCTGATGCTACAGGGAGATGGTCTCAAAA